GTCCACCTGGAAGACTTTCCAGACGACTTAATTATAAGTCTACCAAGACATCCAGTAGAACATTTGAAAGCTGACCTGACGAATGAGAGGAGAACAACATCCAACCTAACTAGACCACAAATCGATTGAAATCCCAATCTTTGAAACCCTAATTTGAAATGAAAATATCCACAAATTGCTTGAAATCACAATTAGTAACCGTAAAATGAGAGGAAAACAACATCCAACCTAACTAAACAACAAGTCGATTGAAATCCCCAATTTTTGAAACCCTAATTTGAAACCAAAATTTCCCCAAATCGTTGAAAACACAAAACCAAACGGTAAAAGGAAAACAACATCCATCCTAATTAAAACCCATATATCAGCAAGAGAAGCCTTCGATTTACCTTGGTCTTATATCGGATCGAAATCGCCTCGAAATCACCTTTGAGAGAAACGACGTTAGGGTTTTCTGAGTTTCGCGAAAAAGTGAGTAAAAAAACATCTTATATATGTCCGGTAAAATACGGTTAGGTTTAAAAGTAATTTGGTAAAATCCGGTTTGGACGACTTATAATTAAGTCGTCTGTTGATACTATACATCCGACTAAGTCGTCTGCCTTATTAAATTAAGTCGTCCAGACCCTAAACCCTAAACCCTAAACTAAATTGACTAAATTAACTACTAACCATGTTATAAAATGAAATTATACTTATGTAGTGTTTACTATACACAGAAATAAACACACTTAGGTAAATTTTAAAATTTTCAAAAAATCATTTATGCTTTCGAATTTCTAACCCTAAGAAACACATAGAATACTACAACATATGTTGGTGAAACCTAAACTAAAGAATATCACCACTCACTAATTTCTCTCATCTATGCTGAAAACAACTGACTTTTTTATATCTTAATTTATATCGCTTAAGACATATGTTAATTATATAATCCAAATTTTTCATTTATCAAGATATTTATTACAAAATTTTTAAATTATTTTTAAGAAAAACTGTCCCAGGCGACTTAGTTTAAAGTCGTCTTGGCAGACGACTTGCGAGGGCTAGAAACGTAAAAAAAGACTTTTTTTTGTTTGTTCACAAGGGGTTGGTTGTAATTTCAACAGCCTTTTAAGTTACTTTTGCATTTGATTCAAGTTTGGGTTTACTTTTGCATTTCAAATCAAGTTTTGAGTCATATTTGGTAACTTTCCCTATATTTAAATAATGTTTACTGTACACAGAAATAAACACATTTAGGTAAATTTTAAATTTTTCAAAAAAAACATTTATGCTTTCAAAAATCTAACTCTAAGAAACACATACAATACTACAACATATGTTGGCAAACCCTAAACCAAAGAATATCATGACTCACTACTTTCACTCATCTATTTTAAAAACAATTAAATTTTGTTTTATCTTAATTTATATCTCTTAAAACATATGTTAGTTACATGATTTCAATTTTCACTTATCTAAATATTTTTTACAAATTTTGTAAATTATTTTTAAGAATAACTATATTAGACGAGTTAGTTAAAAGTCGTCTGGATAGAATACTTACAGTGGTTAGAAACGTAAAAAAAAATAATCAGGTTTTTGTTTTTGTTCACAAGGGGCTGGTTGTAATTTCAATAACTTTTATGTTACTTTTGCATTTGATTCATGTTTGGGTTTACTTTTTCATTTGAAACCAAATTTTGAGTCATATTTGGCAAATTTCCCAACTTTGTATTTGTTTGATGTGTTTATTCCTTTTGATTTAGTTTGTATTCTAATTTTTTTTCCTGTATATTTAATGCATATTAATTCATAATGTGCTACTATTAAAGATCTAGTGATACACACATAAAAATATATATATATATTAAAATTTGGTGAGTATCTGATTTTTCTTATTTTTTGAAAATAAGAATAAAATTAAATTTCACTATTTATATTTTTTATTTTATTAACTTCTAAAAAATTTCAATGTTGATAAAATAAAAAAATCAAAGAATATAAAATATGGATTATTTTCAGCCAATTTATGTGGGAATCTTTGTATTTGTTTGATGTGTTTATTCCTTTTGATTTAGTTTGTGTTCTTATTTTTTTTTATGTATGTTTAATGCATATTAATTTCTAATATGATACTATTAAAAATCTAGTCATACACACATATGTATATATATATATATATATATATATATATATATATTTAAATTTGGTGAGTATCTGATTTTTCTTAATTTATTGAAAACAAGAATAACATTAAATTTCACTATTTATATTTTGTTACTTTATTAATAACATTAAATTTAAAAATTTATATTTTGTTATTTTATTATATAAGTAATTTCTAACATTTGTCAATGTTGGTAAAATAAAATATCTAAGAATATAAATAATGTGTTATTTTCAGCTTTATACATTTTCTTTTTGAATTCATGGATGCTTTAATATTATCTCAAAATAAAAAGATTCATACTTTTTAAAAATAACTGATAAATGCATTCACATAAAGTAAATCTTTGTTAATATTAAACATTAATTTTTTTGTGTAAGAATAACTTGGCAAGCCAAGGACACATAATTCAAGGGCGGATAGTCTTGCACGCAGTGCGAGGAAACAAGCGTCTTTTGTTGTTCACATTGATACAGAGCTTCCGGTTTGGTTTGCAGAGCGCCGTATGAGTCTAGTATGTTGATGTCAAAAAAAAAAAAAAAAAACTTGGCATGCCATATGTCACTTTTTCCTCATCCTATTTAGTGTGAGGGCATCACCATGAGAAAAAAAAACTTAACTTTAAATGATAAAAATATAACATTAAATTTATAAAAAATAAGAATAATATTAAATTTGACTATTTATATTTTGTTATTTTGTTAATAACATTAAATTTCACAATTTATATATTGTTATTTTATTATATAAGTAATTTCTAACATTTTTCAATGTTGATAAAATAAAATATCTAAGAATATAAATTATGGATAAGTTTCAATCTTCTACATTTTTTTTGAATTCATGGATACTATGATTTTTAATATATTTTTATCTCAAAATAGAAAAGATTCATATTTCTTAAAGAGAATTGATAAATGCATTCACATCAAATAAACCTTTGTTAATATGAAACATTAATTTTTTGTGTGTACAAATAATTTTGCATGCCATGTATCACTTTTTCTTAATCGTATTTAGTGAAATGACATCACCATGAGGAAGAAAATTTAACTTTATATAATAAGATTTTTGACATACAGATTCTCATTTAAGTAAGCAAATATTACATCAACTTATTTAAACTCATTTAGATCAATTTAAGATGATATGTATTTTGATGTTTTTAATATAAGGCTATTTGGAATAAAAAATTATTTTTAAAAAATTAAAAAGTATTTAAAGATTGATTATGGAAAAGGAGGTTTACCTTCCGTTAACAAATTCGTCTTATTTGAACGGAAACTCGTTAAATTGAAATGCGGTGTTCCATATAATCTCAGGATCGACATGACTTAGAATCAATGGATATTTTGTGAATTAAACCTCTAAATATTTAAAATTAGATGGAAACCCAACTAAAATTTAATATTTTTAAACTTTAAACTATTAAACCTTTAATGCCTTTAACCATCCATAAACAAAGTCATTTTTTCTGAACAAAAACCCTTAAATTAAAACGCAATATTTCATTTAACTAGAAAAACAATACGAGATGCTTAACACTATATTTATCAATAGGTAGGGGCAATCACAATTCATACCTAAATAAAAAAGAGTATTTGCACTCCATATACACACAAAACCTCATATTTAACTTCATACCCTATTTCCCCCTTCTCTCTCCTCCCCCCCATTATTATTTTTTCCCCCTAAACTAAGGTAAATTCCTAAATAACTTCTTTTTTTAGTATTTTGAGCAAATTCACTCAATAAAAATAGGGTTCTTCTTCCTTTTCAACAACCATATCAAAAATGAGATAAGTCAATAAAAAAACTATGTTATTTGTAAGACCTATTATTTTTCTCATGTTCATCTTTTTGATAAGTTCTAGGAAAAATTTTAGATTGTGAAAGAGATGGACAGCCTAGAAGTTTACCTAGAATCTGATATTCCTCTTTTTAATACCCATCCTTGTTACTCCTTGATATATATATGTTACTTATTGTATTATTTTTTTTTTGAAAACTCTCACATCTTATGTATATTTGAAACCTTTTATATACTATATTTATTATTAATAATAATTTTTGAATTTATTCAATATTCTATTTCGACTGTACAAAATTAAAATTTTACTTAATTAATATATGTGTTTTCTAGATGACAACATAATATATATAAAAAATAATTTTTATTTTAAAATACACTAAAAGATATATGTTCAGACAACAACACAATATATATGAATTATTTTTAATTTTAAAATACTTTTATATTTGTCTAATTTTATTATGTCAAATTTTAAATTATTGATTTGATTTTAATATTTGGCTATTTTTACTATATTAACTTGTGATATTCTAAACTAAAAAATAAATTTAATTAGCCAGTGCAACTTTTAACGTGGTAATTAAGAGCTAAAGATCATTTTGCAAATAATAGTATATATATATATATATATATATATATATAAATAAATCTGGGTATTAAATTTATCAACCAAATCTTGATTATTATATTTCCCTTTTGTTACTTTTATAATTTAGAAGAAAATAAGTAAATTTTGGAACATTGTTTGGGTATCATATCTACCAAAACAAAAATCATTTTGAGTATGGAAATATATATTTCTCTAAAGATACCCTTCTTTATCTGCATGAGTTTTCTAGTACTAGACAATGGATATATCAAAAATAAATGATCCTTCTATTAAATAAATCTTTATGATAAATAATAAAAGACAGCTTTATATTTGAAAGACTCTGAATTAGAACAGCTTCAAACGTATATAAATACCCAAATGATCAATTTCGTTTCACCAAAGAAAAAACCATTCTCCTCCCTTTTCTCTTATTACCGCTCACTATGGCCAATAATCCTCCGGGGAATCAACTCTCCGGTGAGTTCTTCAAAAATCAAGATTGTAGTTTGAATTAAAGAAACCCATCTCAAAAGATGTATCCTTTTTTATATATACTGTTGTTGTTGTTGTTGATGCTATTTAGGGCCTTGTCTCGTGATGCATGGGGTCGATAAGATCAGCGAGTTGCCGGATTCTTTGCTTACTCATATACTCTCATACCTTCCAACTAAACTCTCGGTGAAGACGAGCTCTTTATCGAAAAGATGGAAGAATCTTTGGATAAGTGTTCCAGCTCTTGACTTAAACTACATCGACTTCCCTTATGAAGAAGACCAAGTGGTCCTCAGCTTATTTGACAGACTCCTCGAGTTTGACACTTCTTTACGCCTGCTAAAAGTCAAGGTGAAATGCCGTAGCGAGAAGATGGAGGGGCTCATGGATCGGATCAGTAAAGTGATTCACCGTGGACCTCAACATCTAGACGTTGAGAGTTCTTTTGAGTGTAGAAGAGAGCCTGACACCCAAATCTATCCTTATCTCGATTTCATGCCTCTGAATTTGTACACGAACAAGAACATTGGTTTCCTTGAAGCTCATGTATTCGGGTGTTGAGGATCATGGTTTCGTTTGTATGCCAAGTCTTAAATCCATGTCTCTTGTAGAAGTTCGCTTTCGAGATGACGTGAGTCTGGAGAAACTCGTGTCGGGTTGTCCTGTTCTTGAAGAGCTGACCTTGATTAGGGATATGAATTCTAGTTTTGTGGGTGAAGTTGATAGATTCATGCGTGTGAGGTCTGGGAGCTTGAAGAGCTTTTGTGTTCCTCCCTGGCATGGAAAATATTCTTATTCGTCTGTGAAATGCACACTTGAGATTGATGCTCCAGGGCTAGAGCATATGACTCTCGGAGAAGATCATTATGATAGCATCGTGGTGAAAAACCTCAATTCTTTGTTCATGGTTGATCTTGATATCAACTTTTCTGTCAACTTTTTCTATATGTTTCATATGAAGGACTTATCAGCAAAAAAGAACATTGCCGAGTTCTTTCTCTCTGGGATATCGAGTGTTAGACATATGACCATCTCCGAGGACACAGTGGTTGTATGTATATTTACACAGCAATTCATGAACTTTGAATAAAAACCTCCACTTATATATATTGTTGTTGCAGGCCCTTAAGCATTACTCGGACGCAGGGCTGCTTCCTAAATTCAATAACTTATCACGTTTAGAAGCCGTGTTCCCTTGCATGTTATTACCGTTTTTGCCAGTCTTTCTTAAGCGTTGCCTCAATCTGAAACATCTAATCTTGGTAAAATATCTTAAATAACACTGTGGGGGTTTGTCTCTGTTCGTTACTGAAAACTCAGCGTTTGTTTGTTTCCAGAAGGTTGTTGATGCAAATTGGGCGAAGGATGAATTTGAACTCACAGGTGTGCCGGGGTGCTTCTTATCGACTCTCGAGTGCATTCAGCTTAAAAGTATTCATTACTGGAAGGAAGAGGCGATAAAAATAGCCACATACTTTCTTCAAAATGCAGCAGTTCTGAAAAAACTCACTCTCAGTTTCATGGATTATCCTCGACTTGTCCCAGATAAAAAAATCTTTGAAGAGATTAATAAAGTTACAAAACTTTCTCCGACCTGTCAAATTCTTCATGAATGGGAGCCTGGATTTTAGAGTTGAGTGACAAGTTATTATTTTTGAATATTGGATGCATAAATAATAATTTTAGATAATAATATAAATTTCTTTTAGAAAAACAAAAATTAGTTTACATTTTCATATTATTAATTTTATATTTAAATTCACCGGTTTAAACAAATATAAATAATAACTTTTCATTTGTAATCTTGTTTCTCTTGACTTGGTTTAATTATTTTAATTTAAATAAAATTACATTTCATATAAATACAATATTTATTTATACTAGGTTATACTTATTGATTATTTATATATTTTCTGTTTTTTAATTAAATTCAAATTACATTTTAATTTGTATCTGAAATATAAATATATGTTTTATACTTAGACTGATTATGCTATATACTATAATAAACTCGCATTATTAATTGCTAAATTATGTCCGAAACCCTTAATAAAATAATATGCATATATATAGGTGGTAGATTTATATGACCCACAGAAGTTCTAATGCCAAACCACAATAATCTAATGGTAATGTTCTTTACATATGTATATAGGGATTAAAATGAGAAAATTCACCCATAAAAACTCACCTCATATAAAATTCACTCAATTTAAAATTCATACCACTAGATTCATTTAAAATAGATCTTATAGAGATTACCATTTAAATCCGCAAATATTACATTGACTCATTTAAACTCGTTTAGTTCAGTTTAAATTGATATGTAATTTGATGTTTTTAATATTTATTTTTAATGTAAGACTATTTGGAATAAAAAATATTTTTAAAAATTATAAAAAGTATTTAAAGATAGATTATGGAAAAGGATTTTTAAGTTTTTTCTTTCAAACTACGTCAATTGTTCATTGTCATCTAGCTCAGGTTGTTACTCACAGCTTGCCGCAAATCTGTATTTCCCACCAAAATCCCAAATCAAATTTAGAAAATGGGATTTTTTCTATAAAGCCGCAAAACCAGTTTTTTCCGTTAAAACCACAAAATCAGATTTCCCGCTAGAACCGCAAAATTAGATGTTTCCACTAAAACAGACAAAAATGGATCTTCTGCCAAAACTACAACATTGATTTTTTTTTTCTGGCAGAAGAGAGAAAAATCAACTTTTTTCCGCTAAAACCGTAAATTAGATCTTTTTATAAAATTGTAAAATCAGTTTTTTTTTCCAATAAAATTGCAAAAATGAATTTCTTGCTAAAATTGCAAAAATGAATTTCTTGCTAAAATTGCAAAAACTGAATTTCTTGCTAAAATTGCAAAATTGGAATTTCGTTAAAAATGAAAAATTAGGTTTTTTTCTCACCATAGCCACATTACTAAGTTTAATGCTAAATCCACAAAATCGTATTTTTTTCACAAAAACAGAAAAATGTTTTTTTTTGCGTGCATATACTTTTCGCTCATGTTGTCAATGTTTTCGTTTTCTTTCCTTAGGGGGAGAAAAGAGGTTTGGATGATAATTTTATGACATGTTTTTGCCTTTTTTTTAATAAAATTATAGCGTTTGGAGTGGAATATTTATGTCGTTCGTACTTAATTATTATGAAATTAATATATTTTTAGATGACTTGGTCAGCTTATAAATGTCCCAAGATATGTCTGAAAAGCATCTTAATCCCCAGTTTTTCGGTTCCGAATAGCATCTTGCTCATAGATTCCCCTTGGTATGTTTACAAATCCTCAATTTTAGAGAGGCCAACAATCATTATAAAGAGCAACCTACAAAATCCGTTGATCTAAATCATATATGCAGCAGAACAAACAAAGCAGCAATTTAATCATTTTAGCAGATCCAGTAACAAATAGTAATAAGAACTAGCAGTTCAATTTGTCTGGAAGCCTATCCAAATAAGTAGAGAAAAACCAAAAGAGAGAAAAAACTGATACAATTCTGGTCTATAGAGCTTCAAAGAAATTGACCAAAATTAAATATGTAATCCCATGTTTTCATGAGAGAGAAAATTTACATATAGTTGATAGGTAAAGCAAACAAAAAAAAAATTAACTTGACAAGACACAATATATAATAGAACCGATAAGAGAAACTTAGTTGTAATGATCAGCTGATGAGTGTTTTCTCAAACAATAGAGGAAAACTTCTGAATTTGGTAAAAATAACCTGAAACAAACTTAACAAAGCACACATAATAAATCACTATAACTTCTGAATTTGAAGCCAAGTAGAGTTTAAAGAGAATATATTTTAAGCTGACAATAGATCACTATAGCTACTGTAATATTTCCACAAAAAAAAACCTCCTTGAACCTCTCCAATTACTGCAAAACTTTTATGAAAAGACTAAGCAAGAGAAAGTAAAAGCATGTGAAAGTTGATCAGCCAAGCCAGGGTAAACATCATTGGAGAACTAAGATTGGTGCCTTTTGGGTGGATTAAGACGCCTTAGTTGCCATTGCTTTATGTGCTTATTTGGTGTTCGGTTAGATTTATACAAGATATGAAACAAAAAGATAAAGGAATGAGTAACCAATCATTCATTGATGAAGTAAGTGTGGCAGTAACGGTGATTACAGAGGAACAGATCGGTGAAGCCAAAGTGCAAGAGGTGGAGTTCGAAGACGCACCAGACTGAACATAGATTTAGTTGTGGTGTTGGATTTTATCTGGGTTGTAGCTAAATTTTAAAGCCCACAAAAATTTTTCAGTTAAATTCTTTTCTGGCGGTGTTGACATGGCAGTTTGAAACACTTTTATTCGTTGATTTATTAATCTTCCATGGACACCAATCTATTGAGGATTAAGCCCTTTTAGTATTGTAAGGACATCATTATTGGTGGGATGGGATTTGGAGCCCTTAACATATTTTATTACTATTTTTATGATAAGGAATTAAAATAAGGATTTTCTAAATTTGTTGAGTATTGGTGGGACTTATCTTGTCCCTTACATAATTAAATCTTATATTTTTATTAATAAATATTGACATATATAAAAGAGAACTTTTAAATAAAACATATAAAAGGAAAATTTAACATTAAAATTGAAAACATAAGAAAATTACAAAGTTACAAAAAAAAACATTACAAATATCATAATATATAAAAGCAAACAAACATTTTATTCAATTCATAAAAACTTATAAATTAAACAGTATGTTGTTTGGAAGATGACCAAATTTAGTCCATATATTTTCAATCAAATCATTTTTAAAATTTTGATGAGCTTGTCTATTCCGGACCCTCGTTCGACGGTCAATTATATTACCGAGATTTGAAGGAATATTGATGGAAAATGTATCCACCTCTTCTCTTTCTTGAAATTCATCAACTTCATATTGAGTGAATGATGATCGTTCATCTTCGACAATCATATTATGGAGTATGATACATGCTCTCATAATATCTGCTATTTTTTCTTTATCCTACAAATGAGATGGATTGCGGAAAACGGCAAATCTAGCTTGCAGGATTGCAAAGGCACGCTCGACATCTTTTCGTACAGTTTCTTGGGTTTGAGAAAATAATGAATTCTTCTGACCTTGTGGTAGTCGGGTAGATTGAATAAAAGTCGCCAATTTTGGATAAATACCATCCGTGAGATAATATGCCAAATGATATGGATTACCATTAACATAGAAGTTCACTTCCGCCGCTATTCCGTTAATAATGTCATCAAAAATGGGTGACCAATCAAGAATATTAAGTTGTTCATAGTACCTGGAGCTCCAAAAAATGCGTGTCATATCCAGAGATCATATGATCTACCGTCTCCAAGACAAGTGTTGGTTTATCAGTTCCTCGTGAATACATTCCTTTCCAACTGGTGGGGCAATTCTTCCACTCCCAATGCATACAGTCGATGCTTCCAACCATCCCCGGAAATCCACGTTGTTTTGCAATATATAATAGCCTTTGCAGATCATTCGGTGTGGGACGTCTTAGGTATTCATCGCCAAACAATTGGCTTATTCCAGCGGTAAAATGGTGCAAACATTTTTGAGCTGTTGTTTCACCAAGTCGGACATATTCGTCAACTGTATCAGATCCACCACCATACGCCAATTGTCTAATTGTTGCGGTACATTTTTGGAGCGGAGTTAGACTAGGCCGTCCGGTTAAATGTACTTTCACTGGAAATAGTTGGTCTAGTTGATTAAATACTTAAAGATGTATCACAAACATGGTCAAAATGAATAATTTGCCTCGTTACAATCTACTCAAGAAACAAAAAAAAAAATTCAAATTTTCATTGATATCAAACTATAATTCAGTTATTTTCACATACAATCATACAATCTATACGAATTGGTGCAAAATCTATATGAAACAATCACACAAACTATACGAAACAACCATAAACAAGAAATGTCTAATCCAAAGTTATTACACAACTAAAAAGCTATCAACTCTTTTAACAAGATCATTAAAATTTACAGGGATTTCGTTTCAAACAAACTATATTCATGGCTTTCATTTCTATGTAACTAACCACGGCAGTGCTTTTACTATAAAACATTAACAACAAATGTACTTTCACTAGAAAAAGGTTGGTCTAGTTGATTAAAGGCTTAAAAAGATGTATCACAAACATGGTCAAAATGAACAATTTGCCTCGTTACAATTTATTCAAAAAATTTCAAATTTTCATTGATATCAAACTATAATTCAATTATTTTCACATACAATCATACAATCTATACGAATATGTTACAAAATCTATACGAAACAATCACACAAACTATACGAAACAACAATAGAATCAATCTCAAACGGAGTATAAATATTTTTTGACCCGAAAAAAATCTATACGATTTCTCTCTAACCACATAATCTATATGATTGAATCATATCAAACAATCACAGAATCTATACGAATTATTTCAAACATTTTCAGAATCTATACGATTGAATCATACAAGCTACACAATCCTACTCAAATTTTCAATCTCGGAACGGAGGTGAAAGACATACCTTGGTACGATTGGGTCGATTAGATCTTCGCTATCAGAGATTTCAGAGTCGATTTCGGAGTTGGATGTGGATTGAGCTTTCGATT